AAGACATTTGTGTGTAGCAGACTAGACCCATGCCAAAATGAAACAAATCTCCCAATCTCACAGGCAGTGCTAGTCACTTCTATCTTGGCCAGGTACCCAATCAATGTGGGTGTCGTGATGTTGGCCAACATGTCTTTGGTTGGTAAGGTGACAGCTCCTACTCATATCGCAACACTATCACAGAGTACCTTACAGATGCGGGGGTGGATTTGAAGAGTTTTGACACAATGGTTCTGGCAAAGAAGCCCTTCACTTGGTATTCTCCGAAGGACCCCTGGAACCCGAAGAATAAGGGTCAGCCGACTACTACCGTAGGCCAGTCTGATGAGCCTTCAGTGGTATCTACAGAGTTAGGGGACATGCCTTCCACGGCAGTAGGAGCTTCCACCAGTGCAGCTTCCATACTTCCACCTCCTTCTTTCGGGCCTTCAGCAGCAGTTCCCTCCACTTTGACTTTGAGGTTGGTGCCTTTGCCTGCTCATCTACTATCTGTGCTGCGAGTCTCCCAGACACTAGCGAGCCTCAGAAACTAGATGCAGATAGCTACTGCAAAGCTGTCTTACTTATCTAGTGTTGTTGCAGCACAGATATCTACCCCGGCACCCCAGCTTCATCCGACAGTGGAAGACACATTGAAGAAATTTTTTGGAAAACCAGCAGACCATCATGAACACTTTGGTGGCACGTGGAGCAGTAATTGAGGAGCTTGGGAAGCAGGTAAAGAATATGAAGAAATCTCAGGCATCCAAGAAATCAATAGACAGATTGAGGAGAGAGGTCACCAAGATAGCAGCTGTTGGAGACCTTCCATTTGATATGCTAATGGAGATAGATCCATCGGCACTAGTGGCACCAGATGGCCAGCCTGAGGAGCCAGACCTGGTTACCGACACTGCTGAGGCGGTATGACAGATGTTTGCCAACCCAGCTACTCCTAAAGTCGGGGATGATGAGATCTAGTCGGAGGAGCTTGAGGGAGGTGGCGTTGTTATGGACACAAAGATGTCCAAGGCCATATAGAGAGTCCTCTTTACTCTTACCCGTCCTGACTCTTATTTTGTTAAGCGTTGGAGACAATGCTTATTTTTATTCGGGGGACAGGGGGAGGGTGGAGTTTATTTGATATTTGGATGATCTGACATTTAGTTTGTGATAACTGATAACATTTTCCTTTTTCTTTTTATTATGTACATGTTCCTCTCTCTCTCTCTCTCTCTCTCTCTCTATTGATATATATATTTTCTCTTTTCCTCTTTCATTTCGTATATTCATTTTTGCTTTGTAGCTTCTTTATTTTGTTTTCTTAGTAGCTTCTTGTTTAATCTAATAGCTTCTTTTTAATCTAGTAGTTTCTTTTTATGTTTAAGTGGGCAATAAGCCTTTGGTTTTCTTAATGTCATGGTTCTTTCCAAAGGTAGTTTTTGTGTGAACCGGATGACTCTTCCCAATGATGGATGGCATGACAACCTTCTTAAGGGATTGAGTCTATTTTTGGCGTTTAGGTAAGAATATTAGTAATAATGAACAAAAGGCCTAATTCAGTCAGACTCAAATAGTCAAACATGCTTCACTTGGTACCAACACACTTAACTGCGTGCTTATGATTAAAAAAAATTCTTGGAAAGAAATAGATCTAGTTAGTGACCTTCTGACTCTTGTGTTGACTTAGGCAATCATCGAGTGGTTTAGTTGAACCATGAGTGATTTTCAATCTTGAATATGGTTGTTATGGGGCCTCGACTCTATCCTCTTTAACAATCCAACTATGTGAGAGGTGAAATATTTTTGTTACAAGTCCAAGTAGCCCTGCAAATGGTCTAGAACTTGCCCCCAATGTGTTTTTAGGCAAAAATATAAGTTTTGCTTAGCTTGAGAAGTGATAGTAAGCTCTCCTTGACCAGCTTGAAATTTACCATATCCCACCAATATTTTTATCCCTAGTCAACCCATTTGAGCCTAAAACCTTTCTCATTTGATAACTATGTTACAAGCCTTTACCCGTTTTGTAGTGACCCTCTCTTGGCACCCGAGTTTTTCTTAACACTCTTGAGAAACAATTGGCTAAAACATAGGTTCGGGGGAGAAACGAGGAGTTTGAAAAAGGTATCAAGGCACAAAAAGAGAAAATAAATGAAGAAAAGGAAAGGCAAAGACAAAAAAAATAACAAAAAGAAAATTGCAAAAAGAAAATGAATAAGTCGAAGAGTTGAAGGGATTCAAAGAAAAGTAACAATGCAAAGCATTGAGAAAACAAAGAAGGAAAAAATGAATATCATGGCCAATAAAGAGTGATGTTACGTCTCTCTAGTTCATATAAGGAAAAAGAAAATGCTTCAAAGAGTTGGCAAAACATGAGTCGATAAGAGAAAATAGAGTCCTTAAGGAAAGATTAACTTGTTCTGTTCCAACACATCGAACCTAGTCCAAAAGCCTTCATTGCATTCGGAAAAATTCCTACGTGATTTCAAGCCGAGTGAACTTACATTAGTGGTGATCTACATGAGGGGCAAGCATATGGTACTAAGAGTCGTACTTGTGACATTCTTTTGAGAGAGATGAGCGAACTTTTCACAAATCTTTGAATTGAGTGATACATTCTTAAGTGAGATATGCTAACGGAGAGTAGATGAGGGGGAGGAATTTGGGATCCACAATGACCTACATGAAAGAGTGACCTTCCTTGATGAATAAATTCAACTCTTGATGCTCAAGTGTCACATTAGAACTATTTGTACTTAAAGTTCAAATCATTGCCTTATTCATAATTCATAGGTGTTGTGGGTAATTGTTGGTCCCAATTGATGTGTGATTAATGCACCTTTGATTAGCTAGAATAGCTCTTAACTTGTGAAAGTGGAAATTACCTTATTTTCTTGAGGACAAGCAAAAACTTAAGTTTGGGGGAGTTGATAAGTGGGGATTTTGACTACTTATTAGCACCTTTTATCTTTCGTTTTAGTCCAAAAGTATTTAATTGTATTCCCGAAAATTGATGAAATATGCTTAATTGTAGGACTATTGGAAAATGAGCCACTAAGATGAAATCCAACTCAAGAAGGAGTGATCTAAACTCAAGGACAAAAACAGGCACAGAAGCTCAAAGTGTTGACCGCAGAATATCATCTGCGGCCGCAGATTGTGAAGACAAACTTATCAGAGGGCTCTGAGAAGTGCAGTCCGCACATGAAATATGTGGCCACAGAAGCTAAGAAATAGAAAAAGTTCAGAGAGTTTGCATATCAATTTCAAAGGAAGTGCAGACCGCACAATTATTGTGCATCCGCAAAAATTAGCTACGCGACCACAGTTGAATTTATGCAGTTTGCTGAAGAACCGTGTACGGTGACACTCAGAAAAGTTTGGACTGCAGAAAAAGAGAGATGCAGTCACGGTTCAGAATTGTGTAGCCACAAGATTCAAATCTTGTCAAGCTAAAGCAAAGTGCGGATCGCACATAGAATTGTGCAGCCGCAGAACCTCAAAAAAGGGCATTTTCTCCGAAAATTCCAGCTTTATATGAATAGAAGAGATTTATTTTTTTAGGTCAAGTTGTGATATCAGCAGCCACGTAGACGTTCTTCTTTACCCTCTTTAGTATTTTTTGCCATTTTGAGCTTTTTGAACATAGATTTCATTATTTTAATTATCAATATGGGTTTGATTATCATTTCTTCTTCTATTTCTTCTATTTTAAGCATGAATAGCTAGATTCTCACTTGGGTTGTGACCCAACCCTAGAGTATAAACTTAATGGGTATTTGATTTATTGTTTGTTTATGGTTGGGTGTTTATTATTTAGCCTTGTTCTTGCTTTTAATTGTGGAATTAATAGTTGCAAACATTAGTTCATGTCTACTTGACTTGGTTTCTACTTGAGAAAGAGAGACTTAGTCTAGGAAAACTTGGTTAACAAGGAATTGGGGTAAATCAAGAGATTGATAATCCCAATTAAAGGGTTGAATCTAGAGATAGTAAAATCCGACTTGAGCTTTTTATCAACCGTTTTGTTCAATACCCATTTGGACTTTAGAAAGACAAATTTGGCAAAATTGCTCTCTGACTAAGAGGTATTGAGTGGGTACTCGAGTGTTGATAGATATAATAAACCCCTACCAATAAAACAAACTTTAAAGTTTACAACCCGTTAGGCAAACACCTAGGTAAAGGTCATAGTCCTAGGCCTTTTACATCATTTGAAAAGCAACAGCAAAAATAATTTCTTAGTTTCAATTATTCATCTTGCAATCTTAGTTTAAAATAGACTTAGAAACAACCAAAGTTTGTGGAAGCGCAAGTTGATATAGTTCAAGCTCATACACTAAATATCACTAACAAATACTATAGTTAAGTTAACTAACTACAGTTACAGTTAGGCTAACTAAGGTTAACCTATATTCTTTAAACCCTCCCCTCCCTCAAGCTAGGACTAGGAAAGATGTTGAGTAGACCTAGCTTGGACATCAAATATGAATGCTGAAGTCGACCAAGTCCCTTTGTGAGTATATTAGCTTCTTGCTCAGCTGTAGGACAATAGAGAGTATAAACAAGACTGTGTTGAATCTTTTACAAATGAAATGACAATCAATATCAATGTGCTTCATACGTTTATGAAATACAGGATTGGCAGCAATAGCAAGAACTGATTTACTATTAATGTAGATAGGCATAGGGTAATTATGATCCACTCCTAGCTCATTGAGTAAACCAATAATCCAAGTAATCTCTGCAACAATGGATGTTAAGTTGCGATAGCTTCAGCTGAGCTTCTAGAAATAGTGGACTACTTCTTAGACTTCCAAGAAATCAAGGAAGAGCCAAGCTTGCCAAAATAACCTGTGACTGACTTTCGAGTGTTGGGGCATGCATCCCAATTTGCATCACAAAATGTTGAAAGTGGAACACTTAGCAGCCAAGAAAACTCCCAACCCAGGACTATTTTTGATATATCTGACCACCTTGAGTGCAGTTTCCATATAAGAAACCTTAGGACTATGCATGAATTAGCTCAGACTTTGGACAGGAAAAGAAATATTTGGCCTTGTAACAGTCAAATAAAGAAGCTTTCCCAGAAGCCTTTGATATGGCCCTGGATCAGTAAATAATGTGTCATCAGAAGTACCTGTATGAGTGTCAAATTCAGCAGTAGTAAGCTTCACATTTGGCTCCATAGGACAGGATACTGGTTTAGAGCCAGAGAGCCCCAACTCAACTATGAGTTCTAGGGCATACTTGTGTTGATGCATTAGTATACCATCACTATTTCGTGCAAATTCTATGCCTAGGAAGTACTTAAGCTCTCCTAGGTATTTGATCTTAAAAGAAGTTTGTAAATCATCCTTAGTCTGTTGGATAATGATTGGACTATCTCTAGTGATAAGAAGGTCATCAACATAGACCAGAACAACCACCATGTGATCTCCTGCCCTTTTGATGAATAGAGAATAATCTAAATGACTTTGTTGAAATCAAGCATCCACCAAGGTTGATGTGAGCTTTAGATTCCACTGTCTAGATGCCTGCTTAAGTCCATAGAGGGACTTAAGTAGTTTACAAACTCTGAGTTCAGCCTTTGATCCATTGAAACCTTGAGGTACCTTCACATACACCTCTTCAAATAGATCTCCATGCAAGAAAGTATTGTAAACATCCATTTGATGAATAGACCATTGCCTTGAAGCTGCAATAGACAACACACTTCTAACAGTAATCATTTTCATCATAGGCAAAAAGGTTTCTTGATAGTCTAGGCCTTCTATCTGATTATACCTTTTAGCTACCAATCGAGCTTTAAACCTTTCAACTTCTCCTGATGACTTATATCTAATCTTATAAACCCACTTGCATCCTATTGCCTTTTGTCCATGTGGCAAGGATACCAGATCTCAAGTCTTATTATCCTCTAATACCTTGATTTCTGCCTACATTGCCTCTACCCATCTCTTGTCCTTTACTGCTCTGAATATGATGTAGGTTCTATCTCCACTGAAAAATTTGCCAAGTAGCTTTGATATTTTGAAGAAATAACTTCATATCCAATCACATCTAAAATAGGGTACTTGCAGCAGCTTGCAAAACTTTTCTTGTCATTTCTGACATAATCCTTAAGCCATATGGGACGCTTAGATACTCTTGTGGATTTTCTAGTTTCCTCAATATGAGGTAAATAAGAGAATCATCAGAACTATCCACACTGTTATGTTCAACAGGATGTGAAATGTCCTGCTCATTTGAGAGAACTGGAGTCAGAGTAGGAGAACATGGTATATTGGTTCCCTCAATATGAGTATCAGCTGCAGAACTAACCACCACTGCATTTGGTTCTTCATCAAAATCTTGTCTTGGCACTGGAGTTATATTCAGCAATAATGATTCTAATGATTCTTCTGCTGTATGAAAAGGAAATATATCCTCATTGAAGTTTGGTTCCTCATGGCTCTGATACCATTAAGTCACAATTGCATTGTACCGATCCCACTGACATCCCAGATTTGGACCAAAATCCTCCTTCGATGTTGATCTATCAACCAAACATAATTTGTTTTTCCTAACAATGCTACATTCATTGCACGACTCTAGAGAGAGTAATTTTCCATACCTGTCAAAATGAGTCCTGCAGACATTGATCCCGGACCATCAGACACATGCAAGTAAAGAGGATGATTGTGATCTAACACAATCGAGCTAGGTATCGTTTCGATGCTTGCATTTTATCCATTGTTCGCATTATCAGTCGAACTCTCAGGAATCGCCATTGATAAACTAAAAAATAGGGTTCAAAGCTTCTGAACTTGAGTAGATTCTCCCGAACTACCTTCAATTCCGCGAAGAAATTCCCCAGAATCACTCGATTAACGCTCTGATACCATGAAGAGTTTCACAATACGCAGCTGAAGAGAGAAATTGAGATTGAGAATTGAGAGAGAAAATCAGAGAAGAGCAATGCTTTGTATATTGATACAACCGACTGAATTAAGAAAGAAGAAGAAGCTACAATATTTAACTAACTAACCACCTAAGGACAGTTGTACATCACTAACTAATACTATAGTTAAGTTAACTAACTACAGTTACAGTTAGGCTAACTAAGGTTAACTACTAAGGTTAATCTATATTCTTTACAACTAATACCAATCAAGTTGGGGGAAGAAAGCGGAGGATGATAAGTTTAAGGGATCCCATATAAAAAAGGAATCTTAATCTTCACTGAATAGTAAGAAATCATGTATTCGCACTCTGCATTTTCAAAAGGAAGAAACGATACCTAAAGTGGAAGGATTACAATTATCCCACCACGCCTTTGATATAAATACCAATGAATTGTGTGTATAAAGTTGTCCAATAACATTCTTTCTCTTACATTTTAATTGTGTGTATCGTACTGGGAAAGCTTGCTTCGTGGCGAAGGCGAGGAGTATTTAGCAAAGCCAGCAACCAAAAAAAAAGTTGTCTGACCGGAACGAAAAGGCAGTCCGGTACACAAAATATTCACGTAGGGTTCAGGGAAGGCTCGCACCCTTAGGAGTGTGATGTAGACAATTTACTCTAATGCATGCATTAATGGCTGCTTTCACGGTTCGAATCCGTGACCTATGGTCACATAGAGACAATTTTACTGTTGTTTTAAGGCTTCCTTCCAGCTAATTTGCTCAGTTGGAATTCATGTTGGCGAATTAACAAAAAGCAATAAACGCCAACTGCAACAAGGAAAAAAAATTCTAGTCATTTATGCGGCTGTCAAGGGACTCTGTGATCGGATGCCACTAGCCATAAAACTTTATTTATTATTCATACCCATTTCCAGAATTAGAATAAGGTATGAGTGTATCAGCCTGGCGAGTGTCCACTTGCAAATTTGAGTAATGCATATAGGGTACGTATAAATGTTATCGGCATAATGCAAGGGAAACATTTCTGGTATGCAATAATTGGACAATAAATTCGCATATATTATTATGGAAAATGTTACTGCAGTTGTTACTCTTCTCTTTTCTAAGGTTGAGTCAATAAAATTAGATAAATACTTATTCGTGCCAAATATTTATATTTAAATAATTAATTTTAAAAATAAACAAATTAAAGTAAACGTATATATTATCTTAATCATGATTTAATGGTATTTTTTATATATACCAAAAATATTTCTCTCTTCTCAGCTTCTCCAATTAGCTACAAGAAAGAAGATTACTTACTATCAAGAGGTGCGATAAGATGATTGAGATTTTTTCAATCATACAACCTTAATCAATTATCTCAAATTCGAATCTGAAAATATTGAATAACTTCTTGATAAAAAAACGTTCTACCCCTTAATGGAGACATGCCTAACATAAATCTGCATTAATAATCAGGTAGTGAATTTCGGATGCCGATATACGTAAAGCGCCAAAAGAAAAAAGAGCAAAACAAAACAAAGAAGATAAGTTGCATATGCCCAAAATAAAAATTAAAAATATCTGGTTCATTTCTCCTGGATTCCCTTTTGTCTTCTTATATATTCTTTCGTACCAATTTATGTGATGTAGTTCGAATTTCGGGAGTTAAACTTCTTAATTTTAATCGTGAAATCTAATATAAAACTTTTATGTTATGAAATAAAATATAAATATTTGAAAACTATATAAGAATATTATGGCCCCACAATAATTAACAACTTAAAATATTTAAAGGCATATGAAAAAATTACGGTAAAAGAAAACTAGTTTAACTATCGAAATTTGAACGGATAGAGAGAGTACCAGTATATATCAATCCGAACGGTGAGAGGGAGTACTAAAGAATCTCTTTCTAGTTGCTCTGGAACAATTAGAAGATTCTCTAGAAGAAATACCGGGTTTTACTTCTGGCGGCAATATGCTGAGGCGGAGCTAGGTGGCAAAAGGGGGTTCAGCCAACCCCATCGCCGAAAATTATACTAAATATATAAGGTTAAATTTTTTTCTTCATATATATATATATTGAATCACCGGCCTTAGCTTCTTAGCGCATTTACTATTTTTAGTTGTTGAGTCCCTTGATAAAAATTCTACTTCCGCCACTGAATACCAGTATATATCTATGTCATAGTATATTCTATGTATAATATGTGATGATTTCCCTATTTTTACCTTCCCTTCATTCTCCTTGTCTCCTCTCTTTCTTCTTGTTATAATACTTCTTCAACTTCACCAAGGACTTCAACATGGTGCTAGCTACATCCTCTGAGAAAATACGAGATATTGAGCTTCCAATTATTGACCTTTCATTAGAAAGATCTGAAGTATTAAAACATATAGTGAAAGCTTCGGAAGAGTTTGGTTTTTTCAAAGTTATTAACCATAAAGTCCCTGAATTCATCATTAAAAGAATGGAAGATGAAAGTTACAGCTTTTTTTCCAAAACTTCCTTACAAAAACAGTGTGCTGGTCCAGCTAATCCTTATGGCTATGGCTGCAAAAACATAGGGTTTAATGGAGATAATGGAGAAGTTGAATATTTGTTACTTCATGCCAATCCTTTGTCTATTTCTCAAACGTCGAAAACTATTTCCAGTGATCCAATCACGTTCAGGTATCTTTCGAACTTGCTAAATTTTAGAATACGCCATCTATATATTTGTGGTATACTGAGTATATGAATTAGATAGTATGTTGTTCATACTATCCGGGGTAAGGATATAATCTGTGTATATTACCCTTCAGCGTCCACACTGTGAAAATACATTGTGTACGTTGTTATTTGTTGTTGTTTTTCATAACATTTTTGAGATTTTGAAGGGACATTATTTAGTCCAAATGGCATGACTTTCCTTTCATTGTATTACCATATGTAATTGATGGGGTGGACTTGTAATTACGTCTGCATTAAACTTTGAGTTTTGTGCCTTTGTGTGTAATTTATTTGTAGTCCAGTTACCGTAGCCGGTAGCACTACCGGCCATGAGTAGAATAAGATCCCTCAGGTCTTGGCTAAAAGTTTCAGATTCGAGCTTTAGGTTCCTTTAACAGGCCTTACACGATGTGAGTGTAAATTAGTCGGGTCCTTAATGTGAAAATATCGAACATTAGATAGGAAACCGAAAAAGAGTTACCATCGCACTAATGTAGGAGGATCATATAATATCCAACTTCCTTGGTTGATTCCAAAACGAAGCCATAATCTTTAGTTATACATGCCATGAAACCCTGGACTAATTTTTGGGAAGATTATAGACCTGAACGTGAGAGGGCGCTGTAAAACATGATATAATTAAGTGACTAACAACTACATACTCAGTATTGTTTTGGGAAGGTAGTGTGTACATTGACCTTACACCTACCTTGTGAGCATATAGAGGTTTAAGTGACTAAAAATGTATTTGTTGGTAACACTTTAAACTTTTAGATGAGATAATATTACACACTTGATCATTAGGAATACTTTTTGCTTAGTTTTGATGGACATTTGGCCTCTTCTTACGAAGATGAATATAAGAATTATCTCTCGTCAGTATATGTATCGAATAATTATGTCAATTAAAGCTCGGCCAGATAGGAAAAAATCACCTAATTATGTTTACCAAAGCTTGATACTATTTTGATTTATTAGTTAGGGAGAGATTGAATTTGAGATAGTACATACGTCAATATCTAGGTTAAAGGGTATGAACCTAGTTTCTATCGTATTTGTATAGTTGTTCCAGCTGTATGAGCATTTTGAGCCTGACTTCCCCAGAGGCCATGTTTCATCTTTTTTAGGGAAACATACTTAGCTAGACATCATCATCCTCACTTATATTTCAAAACATCATGCAAATCTTGTCTTCCATCTTTTCTTTCTCTATGCTGGCTTTCTCCTTTGATGTCCAATCTTATTGCTCTAATACATGCCGATGGGAGGTAACAGAACCAATAAAATAGTTGAGGTGCGTATAAGCTAATCAAATATTACCAGTATCAAAAAATATGGCCAAACCCATAAGCGACCCTTTAAGTTGGCTCCGCTTTTCATTTTGGCACCTCTACTCAGACCTTTTCCATATAGAGGTGCCAAAATGAAAAGCGAAGCTAACTCAAAGGGGCCGCTTATGGTTTGGCCAAAACATATTTAGGAATAATGACATGAGAGTTACATTGGCATTATTTTCTTGTGTCACAAGTAATAAGGTTGATAATTATATTAACTTCAGGTCAGAAATAAAAAATAAAGGTAAGGAAGACCTTGATCTCGTCATGTAAATTAGAATACTTTGAATGGTGAATACATATAAATCTCGTCAGGGAGATATATAAATATTTGTACATTAAATAGACCATATATAAATTGGTGTTGTCAATTTGCTTGTGAATGATAAGAATATGGAGTATTTTAAAAGGAGGGAAATCATCTACTACTTTTGTAAAGTCCATCCTTCTTCTGCCTAGAGGAAAGAACAAAGAGAAACTCTTTAAACAATAAATAGGCATAATACTAGTGAGAAAATAAAGATATACTTTTAGGGGTCGTTTGGTACGAGGGATAGGGAATAATTAATCTCGAGACTAAATTTAAGAAGAGTTTATCCCATGTTTGGTTAGGAGAAAATTGCGATATAATTAATCCTGGGATTAATTATCCCGGGATTATAGTGTTTTTTATCCCCATGGAAAAACGGAATACTTAATCCCGAAATAACTAATTCCGAAATAATTAATTTGGGATAACTTCTTTTCAACCAAAAGACCCTGGGCCAAGGGTAAAATAACCATGACAAAATTGAGATTAATGTAATTTATTTGGCCAAAAGATGTTCCTACTTCCTCGCATATGAGGAGTTGACATATGGCATGTGCAATGAGTAAAAGCTTATATGCGCTTGGTATTTATATCATATCAATACTAATATTCTCATCCTTTTAAAATAGTTAACTATAATAAGTTACTTCCTCCGTTTCAGATTAGATGAGGTACTTTCCTTTTTATGCTGTTACAAAATAAATAACACATTTTTAAATTTAGAAATAAATCAACTTTAAACTTTTAATTTTATCAATTTTATCCTTAATGAAAAATCTTTTATAACTACACAAATGTCATGGCAAGCTTTTACCCTTTAAGCTTTTTTTTGAGATCACAAGTTTCAAAAATATTCTTTTTTTTTTTAATTTCATGTCAAGTCAAACTATATCATTCTATATATTATTTGATATAAACATCCAATGTTGATAAGTATTATTAGCGCAATGGGCATTTGAGTTTATCTCTAAGGAGAGTGCAGAACCATAAATGCAAAATCTAGATCAAATTTATATGATGTGCCTCTGGTAGCTGCTACCCTAGTACAGTCAGATTTTGTACTCAGAGATGCCAGAACATTAAAAAGAGGATCAAATTGACAAGACAAACTTATACACATCTATCATATCACCATCATAGAGATTAACAAATTATTTTTGTAGTAGCATGTAATTTATATTTGGAAGCTTAAAAGTAGAAACCTCCTAGAAATGGTGAAAGCCAACGGTCAACTTTTTATACCGAATCAAAAGAAAAATATCTGATTAACCCTCACTGTTGAGTTTTTCTCTCTCTGTATGGTTTTTGGCCAATTCCTTTCTTACAAGTTAACATTTTGAGTAAGGTCGAAGTTCATATTCTTAATAGTTAATACTATGATGTTAGAACAAGATTCATTTATATTCTTGATTTACTTAAATGTTGGGCTTCTATGTTATATTACTCGCATTCCAAGCAAGGCGCAGATCTATATGGGAAGGGATGGGTTCACGTAAACTCATGCTTCCCTCCCTAGACTATATATTACATTTGTATTTTTTTCTACTTTTGTTCTTATACAAGCATGTGTAAACCCATGCTCAAGTGAGCACTTTGGCTTAGCAGTAAATGAGCGCACCTTTGCCCCCTAAGGTTAGGGGGTTCGATTTGGACTTGCTCCCTCAGACTTTTTAATTAAAAATGCTCTTGTTTTTTTATTGTTTTTTTTTTCTTGAAGATTATCACTGATATAGCAGGTTGTAAGTATCCATTGAAAAGGAAAACTTCAAAATTGAAAGGTTAATCTCTCAAAAAAGTTTATATTTAGTCAAGAAATAAAGTACTTGAAATTTTTTGGAAATTTTGTTTCTGATAATTGAACACCATTATAAGTACATTTAATATGCATTTCCCTATTCCATTCCTGCAAATCTTCGGACCTTTCACGAAGTTGCAAGAATAACGTATGCCTGAGATTTTTGGCTATTATCAATGTAGTTTCTGCTTTATTATTAGATTGGTGGTGTTTTCCTTCCTCTGTGGAGAGAAGAACATAATAAAATTAATCTTAAACTCCCACCAATAATAAAAAAAACTAATAATGCAAAACCCATATCTACAGGAAAATAGGAGTACTAAAAAAGATCTACGTAATAGGATGGATGAATTTTTTTAAAAATAAATTTAAGCTTGCTATATAAATCATAAGATATTTAAAATTATAAGTAATAATGCTATTATTAATAGTTTTTAAAGTATGAAAATTCGTTGAGGATGTAAATAATGCTAATAATATTAATTCCCTACAAGAAAATCTGAATTTAGCTACGAATTTCGTCGTCCATCGCTAGAACGCTGGTCGCTAACAGAATATTCTAATAATCAATCGCTAATCCGTCTCTAAATAAGATTAGCAACGAATTTTGCAGTTTAGCTACAGAATTTTCCGTCACTAATTCCAATTTTTTAGTAACGATTAGAGTTTGCTCGTCAACTTGGATCATGTAAAAAAAATTATATTGTCGGATCATATATTTATTTAAAGATAGTGATACTCATGCTCTTAAAATCCTGAATAAGCGTCTGAATTTCCAAGTGTTTGATGTTGAGCCTAACTTCTGAAAGTTAGAATATCCCACATTAGTGAGTAGATGATATATATGTTGTTTCGTCATATAATGTTGGACAATCCTCGCCTCAAATATAACTCTACTACCTAGTTTTACACTGTTTTGTTACCATGACAAATCTATTGTAATTCCTTTTCTACACCACATGCTGTAGCCAGTATAGGTACATGTTTCTGAATTAAGTTTAAGACTTTCTTAAATAATGGCAGAATAAAAGAGGAGAATCAGCTCTTCATCATTTTCTTTCTTTATTGGTTTTGTGACAGCTCTACAGTGGATGGTTATGTAGCGGAAGTTAAGGAGTTGGCATGTGAGATATTAGAACTGATGGCACAAGGATTAAGGGTCCCACACATCTCTGTCTTCAGTAAATTTCTCAGAGACCTTAATTCTGACTCTCTCCTCAGGCTCAATTACTATCCTCCTTTGATCACTAATAACATTCATCAACTCATTATTCATGATCTTCTTGAGGATGACATTACGGACGCGTCACCTATAAGCAGTGACGAAGCTAGAATTTTCAGTAAGGAAGTTCAGACGTGTCATCATCGTCATCAACAATGTAAAATTGGTTTTGGAGAGCATACAGACCCTCAGATCTTGACCGTCTTAAGATCAAACGACGTAGGTGGTCTTCAAATTTCACCTCAAGACGGTTTATGGATACCTGTCTCACCTCACCCCAATACTGCTTTCTCTATCTTTGTGGGCGATACTTTACAGGTAAGCGCTCATTTCCTCTATATTTGACAATAACCAAATTGATGTTTTTCTTTTCAATGTCAAACACGTGCGGTGGAATTCTTTTTAGTTGTTAGTAGTAATCCGAGCGGTGAAAACAGCCACTAATGCAAGCATTAGGGTATGCCGTCATATCTTTGGGATGTGGCTCTTCGTGAATGCGGGATGCTTTGTATATTGAGTTACTTTTTTTCTTTTCTTAATAAGGATTGAAATCTAGGACATTTGGAAGTTTTAGAAAGGATTGCTGCTAGTTCAGAATTTTCATATTTATTTACCACTAAAAGGGTGTGCTGAAATATTTAAAGTATTTTCATCATTAAGAAGAGGTCTTGGTTCGACCTCTAAAAATGGAATCGTCATTGATAGCTAGAAAGTGCTAAAAAACTCTATAGTAGATTATAAATTACTTCATCCGTTTTAATTTATGTGAACCTATATGACCGAACATGAAGTTTCAGAAAAAATGAAGACTTTTGGAATTTGTAGTCCTAAACAAAGCAAAAAAGGAGGCCTAGAGTATTTGTGTGGTTATAAAAGTTTCTCATTAAGAGTAGAATTATAAGTTTAAGCTAAATTGTTATCAAATTTAGAAAATGGGTTATTCTTTTTGGAGCGGACAAAAAAGGAAATAGGTTCGCATAAACTGGAACATGGAGTATAAAAGAAATTGGTTCCGAACACCAGATGATTAATACCGTTCTCATAATATTGTAGGAAGTAGTAGTTGTCTCTATGTGATTTATAGGTTACGGGTTCGAGCCGTAAAAGCAGCCACTAATGCTTGAATGTAAGATACTTTGTACACCGAGCTGCGAGCGTAGTCATGTATGGTTATCATAAACCCATCTCTCGGTATCAGAAATAAAAGTTAGAAATAGACTGATGAGCTGAAGAATCATAGTTTGAATAAGACCTAAGTGATAGCTACTTGTGCTTTGGGGGAACTGAAACTGAAGTGATTCAGTTAACCACAGGTTTCATTCAATCACTGGCCATGCCAAGATTTGACGTGATAGTAACTGATCAATTTCAGTGATGAGCTGATCATCTCTGCATATTTTTTGGAGGGTCCCTATTCAATGACTTCTCATCCAGTTAGAATCTCACTGCCTTTGCTTTATAGTTTGCCTTGGAAACTGACTTCTATTTTTATTTCTATACTCTATTTGTTTTAATTTATATGCTTTCCCTAATCTGTTTAAAAGAATATCATGTAGCTTTAGTAGGCGTTTGGACATAAGAATTGTAAAATTCCAAAAAAATGGTGAAAATTTTTTTCAAGCGAAAATGGTATTTGAAATTTAGAGTTGTGTTTGGACATAAAATTTAGTTTGGGTTGTTTTTGAAGTTTTGTGAGTGATTTGAGTGAAAATTTTGAAAAATAGACTTTTATAATTTTTCAAATTTTCGAAAATTTCCAAAATGCATCTTCAAGTAAAAATTGAAAATTTTATAAACAAGCGCTGATTTTGAAAAAAAGTGAAATTTTTTTGGAAAAGGAAAAGAAATTATGTCCAAACGGGCCCACTATATTCCATTTCACCCTTAATAATAATCCAACTTAGTGAAATTCCTAATAATCCAACTATATTCCATTTCACCCTTATATATATATCCTGAATCCTTTAGTGAAATTCCTAATTTCGTCACTACGTAATATTGTATGCAGGCTCTGACGAACGGAAGGTTTAAGAGTGTGAGGCATAGGGCCATAGTAAATTCGTGCAAAACTAGGATGTCAATGGTCTATTTTGGTGCCCCAGCACCCCATGCCAGAATTTCTTGTCCCTCAGAGTTGGTCACACCACACAAATCTTATCTCTATAGGCCTTTCACTTGGGCTGAGTATAAAAAAGCTACTTATTCAAGAAAACTTGGGGACACTCGTCTTCAATGTTTCAGGGTACAATCAGATAATTCTGATGAAATTTTAAGTGAATAATCCTACTCTATATTGCTCGAATTCTTTAAAAATGTTATTGGGTACGTGTCGGATTCTCCAAAAAAAATATAACTACAATAATATTTTTGAAAAATCGAAGCAACATAGATCCCGCTTTTACAAAGAATGTGGCTTGAAGGGGTTCTATAATCCCCAAAGGGGAGTTTTGCACCCTCCCATTCCCTCTATTTATTTTTTTTGCCTACTATAGGATTAACTAGGGAAAGTGTTAAATAAAAAGTGTATGTTGGTTTTTTTTTCTTGTAATTTCAAGATTAATACAACTTTCTTTGGAAGCTTGACTAGCACTAGAAATTCAATTTCTAACTCAAGATTTGACAAAAAAAAAAACAATCCATGTAGTAAGAAGCAAATTACATTAGAACAATTGTGCGTTTTGATTATGTTTATGGTAATCTTAAATCCGCTCATAACATTTCTTGTATAATTATTCCTTGTAAAACAACAAATACGTTATTATTCAATGTATAACAATCTATAATTATTCTTGGATTTTCCAATAGCATGTTTGAGGTCAAGTATCAAGCAATTGTCCATATCTTGACTTTATAGAGCTTGGTTCCATATAGGGCGGACTCAGAATTTTAAAAGTGGCGGAGGCACTATTATCGAATGAAAGTTGAACAAATGCTAGAGTCATTATTAACCCCAACTAGTGCACTAAAATCAAGTTGTGCCACCCAAATCGATCTATGCAACTGCCTAAAATTTGAATCTTACAATGTCAATTAAATATATACATATTATTTAAGATATACATATATACACATATATAAATATATTTTTTTCGAAGTTACCGTAGGCCGGTGACCCCCCTATCCAAAGAGTAGGTTCGCCTTATTATATTTGGTCCAGTGGTCCATTGATAACAAAATTTTCAGCCTTGCCTTTCATAGTATCATTTTCCTTGCTAGTTAATTCTTTTCCCATTTTAATGCAGAAAGCTTAAACTAGAAAATGAAAAATAAAAAGAAGGTTAGAGGATTTATCGAGATACTCAAGACATCAATATCATTAAAATTCTATTCGGATTGCATATCTACATCGGCCAGCTTCAAGTTCATTTTCCATAATGGTACAAAGGTACATCAAATAGTGACTGCATGTACCTACCATTGGCCAAGACCCTTAATTATGATTGGACCATGGGCTGCAGAACAACATTGACAGACTATCTAAATGTTCTAAGGAGCACATTTGGTTGTAGCAATAAGGAAAATTAATTCCCTCGTTAAATTCCGCATAACTTACAACAACAACAACAATAAATTCAGTATGATTAAATAAGTGAGTTTAAGATAGAGATGGACCCAGTATTTTTACGTGACGGGAGCACATTATTCTGCTCAACTAGTGCCCTCTAAAGGCTTTTAGCATTCAGGGTCAACTGCTTTAAATTAACTATTTTTAAGGTATATATATATATATATATATATATATATAGAATTTCGGCCGAAGTTTACGGGGTCCGGTGACCCCTCACCCATACACATGGGCCCGCCTCTGATTTAAGAAGAATGTAGTGTATGCAGACTTTATGCCTATGTTATGTGAGGTATAGTAGTTATTTTCAACATACCCTCGACTCAAAGAATTCAGCATAACTTATCACGTTATTTGGTCGCTTGAATAAGGAGAATTAGTCTTCTCAGTTATTAAATTCCTTGTTTGGTTGTAATTTTCCCTCTTTTTATAAATAATACATATCTAAGCTATATAGATATTTATGTATTATTTTATGGGGCATATGAAATAAGAAAATATAACTATTAGCAATACATGGACTAAAAAATTAAAATAACAACGATGCCTTATCTCTTCAAACTCGTATTCCTTTTAATATTAATACAACGAACCAAATATCTAACAAGAAATAACTCTTACACTATAATGCATGTATTACTAATCCGTGCATTACTAATTGTTGCATACCTTATCTCAAAACCAAATGACGACCACTAAACTATCTAGCCATAGAAATCAGAACATGAACCCATAAAATTCAAATCTTGAATTTACCTCTACTACTGAGAGTAACCAGAATCTTTCTTGATAGATGAACGGAAAAGAAAAAAAATCAAATTAATCAATAGGAAAGTGTTGCTTCCAAACGCACACACAAGTATACGTGGTCGACAACTAATATAGGATTGTAAGTCCAGATATCGTACCCACAGGGACTTGTGATTAACTATCAACTAAATTAAACCAAATAATTAATCTTTTCAAGCAAATCATAAAGTATGAATATTTAGCTAAAACTAATCTAAAGTAACAAACTAAGAGATTAAAGAAAACAAGTTGGTGAATTATAGAGACGAATTCAATGTGAGTGAATATTCAAGAGCTATGAGTTAGATAACAATCCCGTTGAGTTTTTCACCTAAACCGTCTAATTAATTTATCTGGTTTATTGATTGACAGGGTTAATATTGCTCGTAGCCTTCTCTCGAAGTACAACTCGCTTATTCAAGCTAACCTAACGCCTATATTCCTATGGAATTAGGATTAACAAGAACACATTAGTAATTCCCATATAGTAACCAAGCAAGGAGATTAGGTATATTCCTATCCTAACCGCAAATCTGCTCCTCCTCGGAGTTAAGATCTTGCTCTACTCAATCTTATATGCAATCTAGAATTCTCTTTCTCGAGTTCAATCCTAGATTCGTAGATAGTATTCAATTGGTGATCAAACAATCAAATAATTAAGCGCAAGATTGAATAAATAAATCAATATAATAAAATAACAAGGACAATTCAAACTTCAAACTACAACGTTCATGTAGCACCCAAAACTCTAGAACTAATAAACTATGAGATTAAAAGAAGAGAAGAGAAGAAAAATTAGTTAGAAGCCTCCTCCAAGTGTGGTGTGTGTTCCTCCATGTGAATTCCCCTTCAAAGTATGTTAGATCCCTCCAAAGTGGCGTCTCCTCCTTTAAAAATATGTTTATTCTTGCTTTTATATGTGTTGGGTAGGTCTAGGGCCGAAATATCCGTGTCCCGGGCGAATTTGGAGAAAATTCACGTCACTGGCGCCTTGGCTAGTGCCAGGTACCCTCTACGACGCTGCCAATTTTTTGTTATTGTTTTTGGCGCCACAAGTAAGGCTAGGCGCCACCTGTGGCGCTGAAATATCCAACTTTTCTGTTTTTGTCCGTTTTGGCTCTAATTTCGCACATATTGCCCCGGATTGCTCCCGGATAATTCCTACGCATAAAAGCACATCAAATTAATATAAATCAATGCATTTCACATCCTAAATTCACGAAACAAAAGTAAGATATGAAGCAATATACATACAAATATATATACTTTAAGCGAAATATCAACACCCCACATTTAGACTCTTGCTCGTCCTCGAGTAATGGGACTATCAAATAAACCCCCAACCACATACAAGTCTCAATTATAGAGGAGCACTTTAACTTTTAATCACACATTATACCCTTGACTATGATCAATACCGACACACATGCATGAACATATGAAATTTCACATTCTTCCCGTTTAAGCATGCCTAAGTATAATATTTCAATTCAATCAATTCCAACAACCTATTTGTCACCACCCAACCTCAAGAGCCGACTTGTAACCACTAAGCACCCTCAACTCATGTACTCACCCAACAAGAAAGTTTACAACATTACCAATCATTCATGAGATCATGTACCCTTACCAACAAACGAAAGAGTGAATATATACTAGTCCACACATTCAAATGTGCTTTTAAATATAAATTAAGGACATCACACAACAAAATTCGCTCACTCTCACAAATAATTCATGTGCATCCCATGGTCGTACCATAAGCTTGCCCGTAGTGTAAATTTCTACTAATTTAAGCTAGCCAAATCTAAGATCAATTAGGACTTTAATGTTGTAATGTAGGCTAGGGACGGGTATGATACATTTAGAAATAGTGACTAACCTTCCTAAACACTTTAATACACTACATTCACAATTCAAGGCAATCAATTCACTTGCCCCAAACCATATGCAAATAACCCTTACTTTCAATGAAGCACTTCTATATTTTCACTAGCACAAATCAATAAGAATTGGAGGTGTGCGTTTTTCTACATTATTTGAACTATTATTTTTTTCTTTTCTTTCACTTTTTCTTTCTTTCCCTTATTTTTTCTTCACACACTCCATACATTAAAGTTCATCGGCTAGTGACTTTTGATTTTAACTTTTAGTGCACCAACGGGCCCTTCCATAGTTCCACTCAAAATCTACTCCCCAATATCTCACCTTACTTCTTTTAGTGACTAACTGTCTTAGGAGGTAAAGGTTCAATCAATATCAAATTAAGAATAAAATATGGGTATGACTTGCAATGTGGTTGCCAAAGAAAAGGTCTATAGGCTTAAAGGGGCTAGCAACAGAAAATTTTATTTTCTTATGTGTCAGGCACATCTATGATCAAGCAAGAAAATTCCTACATTATCTCTTAGATTATCACAACTTACAATTTCGTTTTAATTAACACACGGGGCAAGTTCTAGACTACACAGGATAACACAGAAGACTAGAAATCCTCACACACACATGTTGCACATGACTCAATCACAATGGTTTTGTTCAACTCTCAAGTCAAGCAAGCACACATAATTGAGAAAATTAAGCAATATTACACTATGTGGCATACAAGTCAAACAACTGAGAAAATGCCTCACAATATAGGCTATTTACTTTACTTAGGCTTCACAATTCAAACCAAATATACGGGAAAACAGAATGTATGTCATAGCCTAATGTGCCACCATCAACCATGTCAATGAGTATCTCGGAGCGACTCAGTTTTTTCCTAAACTACTCAAAAAAAAGTACCCGGTTCGAGCTACATCCTTGGAAAAGAACCGGTGCCCAAAACAAATCAAGAAATACTACCTAACTATTCTAAAAGAAAAAAAAATTGGTACTTTTAATCGGACTTTTATCCCTCAAGAAAATTATCCACAAAATCCATCGTCGGGAAAAGTCTAAATTCCTCAATTGTTTTTTTCTTTTTTTGTTTTTTTGTTTTTTTCTTTTTTATTTTTAACAAAAACTACTACACTAAAAATGAGTACTACAACTAAGCTAAGATAACACAGAAAATCACACAGACAATCTCCTCACCCCACACTTAAAATTGTGCAATATCCTCAATGCACACTGAAAATAACAAGAGGGTAAAAGAGACTCCCTGATAGGTCAAAGGCCGAAGCATTAGAGCTCACCGGATACTTAGACTTC